GCAATCTGCTTCCAAAAGGTCACAGCCTTGAAAACCCTATATGGAAGTCCTACTCTGCACACACGGGGTTGCCATGAGTCAGAATTGACTAGAATACAACTAACAACAACAACAATGGGATTGAAAGTGATCGAAAACATGAGAAGTAAATTATTAGTTGCATATTTCAGGGACCACCTTTCTGAGCAGGTGACATATGAGCTGAGATGTGCAAGATAAGAATGAGTTAGACATACAAAAATTGGGAGAAGTAGCACTGTAAGTAGAGGGAAGAGCTAGTATAAAGACCTTGGGGCAGGAATAAATGTGACTTGTTTTAAAAATAGTGAAAGGTTAGTGTAGCTGACATTACTGGGCAAGGGAGAATATAAGATGGGAATGTGGCCAAAGAAGTAGGCAGGAGTCTCAACTTCTAGAGCCCGGTAGGCCATAGTAAGAAGTCTAAATTTTATTTTTTAAGAAAGGGAAGACATTAGTATATTTAAAGAAGGGAATCTTATTACCTGATTTACATTTTTAAAAGATGTTTTTGGCTATTGTGAAGGGAGTGAATTATTGCAGGGTAGACTACAGTAAATTTGTAAGATTTTGCAATAGTGTGAGAAATGACCATGGTAATACTGAGAGAAGAGGGAAAATTTTAAGTATATGCTGGAGGAAAAATCTATAAGACTTATTGGTAGGTTTAATGGTGGGAGTTGGGAGGTGAGAGAATGAGGAGTCAAAATGCTCCTAGGCTTTTTCAGCTTGCATAAATTCACATAAGGTAGTGCCTTTCTCTAATAGAGAAAATTAGGAGAAGACTGGGTTTAACAGAGTAAACAAATTTTTTGGAGGGCATGATAATTTGGGGAAGACTGTTAGATATTCAAGCACAAGGGAGAAGTCAAGGGTAGAGAATCACCAAGGGATATGCATATGGAAAATATTTAAAGTTTGGGAATGGAAGAGGCCATTTGAGAGAGTGTAAGTAGTGAAAAAGATGAAGTAATGAAGTTGAGCCTGGGGCAATCTGACAATCAGAAGTCTGGCAGGTGAGGAATAGGGGGTTGAAGACTAAGAGCAAGGCCTGGGAGTCAGCACGAAAACCAGGACTGTGTCAATAATGGGAATCAGGAGAGGGAAGGCAGAAGTGGTCAATTATATTGACTGTAGCTGAGAGGTGATGAAACTGAGAACAGATAAAAAGTGACCACTGCTGGTGGGGAAGGGGAGTGGTTAATGCCTGGCAAGGGCAGTTTCTAAGGAGAGGAAAAGAAGAGAACTCCACTGGAGAAAATGGAGAGAATAGGACGAGTAATTGGAGGCTGTTAATTCAGTCAGCACTTTTGCCAAACTTTTTAGTGAAAATAAGCAGCGTACGAGGAAATAGCCTAAGTTTGGTGAGAGACTGTTGGCCCAAGGAAGGGACTTTTTTTTTTTTTAACTAATTGGAGTTACTAGAGGACATTTTCTAGGCTGGGAGCCATTCTATAAAAGCAGGAGAAAGACATCCACCTAAATCAGTGCTTAAAAACTCTCTTAACTAATCTGATTTAAAATCTTTCTGGGTCTTTGACCTAAGAAATTGCACTCTATAAGAATGCAAATAAGTAAAACATTAAGAATATTAAAATTATCTAGAACTTAATGTGCATTTATCTTATTATTAGGAGCACTGGTGGCTCGGTGGTTAAGCTCGGCTGCTAACCAAAAGGTCGGCGGTTCAAACCGACCAGCTGCTCTGAGGGAGAAAAATGAGGCAGTCTGCTTTCCTAGAGATTTCAGCCTTAGAAACCCTATGGGGTAGCTCTACTCTGTCCTGTAGGGTCTCTATTAGTTAGAATCAACTCGACGGCAATAAGTTTAGTTTAATATCTTATTATGACCTTGTTAGAAAAACATGGTAAAAAAAAAATACTTTGATGAATCCGTGTTTTCCAGAGAAAGAATATATAATTAACAAAGTGTGCACTTAAACACTATCTAATCAATTATTTTGGTATTTAAGTTTAAAGAAACTATCCTAGACTATAATTATCAGTGGGGAAAAAAAAAAAAAAAAGGATTTTGGCCTAAGTCATAGGTCACATAGTCGTATGTTAGTGGCAAAATTATATACCCAATTGTGAAATAGAAATTATTTCATTAATACTTTTCTTTAAAATAATGTTTGGTTTATTTACTGTTTGTAATGTGCTTTTGAGTTAAACAGACCTGATATAAATTCTTTCTCTGTGATTCTCAAGCTCTCTGAGCCTCGTGTGTGTGCGTGTGTGTGTGTGTGTGTGTGTGTGTGTGAGAGAGAGAGATGTGAATAATAACTACCTTACATAAATAGGGAGGTCAAAAATAGTGTGTATAAAGCAGCTGAATCCTGGTGTTCATACATACATTGTAAAACATAGTTTATTATTATTCTTCATATTCTTATCTTGTCATTATTACTATCAATATTATCTTGAGGATGTTAAGGATCCTATACACCATACCTGAAGAACTTTGTTTACATTGATGCTAACTGACTATCAAAGCAAAGTAAATAAATAAAGTCAGGGTCACTTATAAAAAATACATATTTTTTTTTCTTAGTGAAACATGTAATTGAGATCATAAACATTTATACAAACCCTATTAAGTATCAAGCCTGTGGGGAAGAACGGTGACTATTCAGTTGATTTGGTTTTAAATTAAGACTAGAAAATACGAAAATATTTGAGCATTAAAAGTTTATAATTAAATTTTATATTATGGCTAGCTGAACATTGGTAGCATATAGCGAGAGGTTAGAAAAAGAAGTAGAATAAAGTAGGTGGAAGAGGAACAGGCACATGGAGAAGAAGAAATGGAGGAATAAAACAGCAGAAACAGACCAACTGGAAATGAAGAAGACAGACAGGCAAAGAGAAGCCCAGGTAAGTAAGTTGTCTTAAAGTCACAGCTGAATCTTCCTTTAAGGTATGTTACCCTAGAAGATTAGTGATTACTCTTTCTTTTAGTGATTCATTTTTCTACTACCTGGCTTATAATGCTAGAACCTTCTCTCCTAGTGGGATTTCCAGTGTAGACTGTGACAGAGAAATTATTCCGTGGTAGTAGTAGTAGTTATCAGGGCTTCTAGCTGTTTTTCCAAAGGCTGGAAACTAAGCTAAGGTCCACATTTTGTCTTTGACTAGGAGCTGAACACTTCCCTCTTTCCCTTGTCCACATTTTCATTTAATAGAAGGTTTTCCGTTAACCTCCAATTAACAATAGCTGGACTGACCAACACTTCCCATTCTCTCTGTAAAACACACTAGCTGTGCTCACTGCACCTGATGGCTCAGCGCTCTCAGGCCACACCGAAATGGACCAGCACAGACTGCTCCCACAGGCCAACTGCCATGAATGCAAAGAGTCACAGGAGTTTGTTCCTAAACCTCCTTATAAATCAGTTGTGTTTGCTATTATAATCTAATTAAAGATTAACTAAGGTGATAAAATATGAGCGTGGTAAAGCGAACTGATTTCAATGAAAATTAAATAAATGCTATGGAAAAGGGAGGAAATCTTCCAAATGTCTGAAGTTCTTGCTTCAGCTTAAAGAAATTACAAACTGAAATTGTTGATGATAGCTTATGGTATGACTTATGCAAGAAATACGACATAGAATTCCAAACAGCAGACACTTAATCAAAGAATACGCCGTGGTCTTACACCAAAAGACTGCGGTATGAATGCACATGCACATGTTGAAGTTGAAATAGAACACTTAAGGTATAAACATATCACTTGTATGGTTCCCTTTATTAACAGACATTTTCAATTCATTAGCCTACTAGTTATGGTCACATCACACAGGACCGTATCTACTGTGCTCTTCTTAATATACTATAGACAATATTCTTGCAACTAAGAAATAATCAGACTAATCGAGTTTAGAAAGTAGACTATCCATACAGTCATCAAGAGCAAAGGAAACTTTACAAATATATAGAAATTATTAGAGTTGGTTAACATCCTATTCTGAGACATTAGTCCTTGTTAACTTGAGTATAATAGGAACAAACACAGTTTGCCATATTTCATGTACAAATCTTAGATTTCTTGAAAATCCGTGACATAACTTTGGGATTATATGAACAAGTGTCAGAAAATAATACTACTTACCTGAAACATAATCAAAATTACGTATCATGAGTATAAACAAAAGCTTACCACTTAGACTAAAATCTTAATGCACCACAGAAGATATTACAGAACATAGATTACTCAAGGAAATATTTTCCTCAAAAACTGTGAATAAATAGTAGTATAAATTTTATAAGACTTAAAATAAGTTTCCTGTGAATATAATACACAAATTCATGAAAAATATATTTTCAGTAAATGCCAAGTAGTAATAATATAATATTTGTCTTTAAATTTGGTTTACTGATGTGATTACCATTAACCCATTACCATCGAGTCTATTCCGCCTCATAGCAACCCTATAGGACAGAGTAGAACCTCCCCAGAGGGTTTCCAAGAAGCAGCTTATGGATTCGAACTGCCAACCTTCTGGTTAGCAGCCGAGTTCTTAACTGCTGTGCCACCAGGGCTCCAAAGTGACTAAAGTAAACCAAATTCTGGTCCTCAAAACAAACATTAAGGAGGATTTGTTAGTGCGGAAAAAAAACTGAACATTGGTAAAATTGATAAGTAAAATAAACAAATGAAATGCATAGTTGCTGAGATTCTATCTTTAAAATAAATCCTACGAACCTGTCTAAAAATGATTCCTGCTTTATTTTAAGTTGGGACTTCAAGTTCTACACCAAATATGCACCATAGTGTACTTAGTCTGTACTGCCACCAAGTGCCTAAACAAATTAGTTTTAAGAATCTTGAAGCAGCTATAAGCAGATTCTTTCAGTGCTGTGAGTCACAATTTGGAAACAGGCTAAGAACATACCACTTCTACCATGAATGACTGGCTATAAGATCACCAGAACACATGACAATAAAATCTCAAAGCCATTAATAAAACATCAGAATCCTACCAGCTCACTGGAAGTTCATGCAGTCTAAAGATGTTATTCAGCTTGTAGTCAAATTTTGATGGACCAAGATTTTCTTTACACAAATTCTGGCTTGGATCTGGTTTTATATCTACTGGAAATTCTGAATCCTAGAGGAAAAAAAAAGAAAAAAACCAAGAACTCTGTGTTAAATACCCAAATCACTGCACACACATTGATACTGTGTTATTTAATGTTAAATTACTACATAAACACTATTATTATATTCCCCTAGGACTTCATTTCGTATTTCAGTTTTGAGTAAATACGCAAAAAAGATAAAATTTTAGATCGGGCACAAATCTATTTGCATAACAAATTTTCATTCTAAGCTACACGCTACTTATTAAAATTATTTGAAAATATTTATGAATTCCAATGAAGCACAATATAATGTTATATTATTGGTCAGCTGTCTTTTTCAATAAGGTGTCCATCCCCAACAGCAATGTCAGCAGCCAGTCTGTGGTTATTCTTACAGGCCTTTGTCTTCTATAAATAGTAGATAATAAATACTCTCATTTGGTAACAAATAATAACATTTGTTCATTGATTAATTTTTGGTTGTTTCTTTAAATCTGAGGGCTGATTAAGAAGTCATTTATTGAAATTAAAAGATTTTTTTTTATAATCATTTTGAATTTCACATACATCATAATCCATATCTACCATTTGCTTGGCACACCTCCCCCCTATCCTAAGCAAACTCTAACTAAAGATCAAAGGTCATTTTCAGTCCATGAGAAAGTAGTCTCTCCTCAGTGGAAAGAAGACATGCTATTAACAGGCACTCTATTAACACTTAATGATAGAATAATTGCTTAATTCTACAAGAAAAAGGAATTGTCAATCCCCTAACACCTAACTCTTTTAAATTGGCTTTAGAGACAGAGGCATATCATTCATTTGTACGTTTATTCATTTATTCAAAAAATGTTTAGAAGTGTTACTTTATCCCAAACGTTTTTTAGGCATGGGGAATCCATCAGTGAACAAAGCAGATAAAAATTCTTGCCCTCATGGAGGTTACATTCTTTGATATAACCTCAGAGCAATAAATAATAAAGCTAATTTTCATAAATTACATATTATTTCTGATTTAAAAAGTAACGCATGTTCATATAGGAATTGCATGCATTTTTGCACTGCAAAATATTACAAAGAAAAAAATTTCAATTATCACCACTCAGATATATAGTGAAAACTGTAAGAGCTGGAACTCAATGGGACTGCCTTGTTTTTCTGAGTCTCGCAGTCTTACTTTTCTATCACTCTCTATTAATGGAAATTACTTGAATTTTCCTTCTCTGACAGGTTTCTGCCTTACAGAGTTTCCAGCTTTTGAAAGTTTTACTGCAATTACTATTAATACTTTGGTTTAATTACTTCATTTGTTTTCTCTCCCTGTCTCTGTTTTTACAAAACTGGAATCATAATGTATTATCCACCTTCCATTTTTTAATTAACATTATACAACTGCATTTTTACATTATTGAATATGTTTGAAAAAAATGATAAATGCCATATTTTATTTAACCATCCAGCTGTTTTTGTTTCCCTTATGAATATCAATGCTAAGAACAGTTTTCTATGATTCTTCACTGATTATTTCCTTAATTCACAGTTTTAGAAGTACAAATACTTGAAATAGATTTAATACTTAACAAAAAATATGATACCTCTTGACAGACTACTCTTCAGAAATACTGTACCAATTTATACTTCTGTGAGTCATATACATCTAGTGCAATATACCACATCTTTAGAATTCACACTCATACATATTTAAAATAATTCATTCATTTAATGATTGTTTTACTCATGTTTATTGTCTACTTCAATACAGGCACTGGTTTAGGCTCTTACAATATATAACTGAGCAAAATAGATAAAACTCCTCCTTGTAGGAGCCGGCATTCTAGCAGGAGGAAACCATGAACAATAAAAATAGTAAACATTTAATAATACAATATCTAGAAGGTGAAAAGGCTATGAAAAAAGTTTTGCTGATAGCTAAGATTGTATTTCATTATAGTTTTCTTATTTCTTAAATTAATAGATTAGTATATATATATTATTTCTTTTTCTACTTCATTTTTTCTGAATTGCCTATTTATATTTTTTGCCCAGTTTTTCTAATGGTGAGATAGCATTTTATTCTAACGATGCTTCTTGGGTTGGGAATGGAAAGAAGGTAAATTTTATGTTGTAAAAATAGCAAGGTGGATCAGAATCTGGCCTTACGTTAAGTTTTGACTACATGAAAATATCTGGAAGCATAAATTTAATATTTACAGCAATTTTTATAAGCACTCTTAAACCAATCATTATATAAAATGAGGCATTCAATAAAATTTAATCAACTGGGCCCTACAGCCTATTCGCTATAACTGAGAAGAAAAAAAGAAAATATTGAATAAGTATTTAAAAGAAGATTTACAAGACTAACAAAGCCCTAGGAATAGCAATCCTATCTAAACATAAATGTACTTGTGGAGGCAAATCATAAGACCGTTTATATCACCCAGCCTGTATGCTAAAACATTCCAGGAGACAATAGCCAATTAAATGGGCAGGATTGGTGAGGTAAATGCAGGATACGTAAATGAGAACAATGCAAACAGAAGAGAGAAAATAAAATAAATCTTAAAACAATGTATTCTTTCAAGCTACATAACCCACCCCCTTTCTTTCTATTGGCAAGGTACAGCTGAAGGTCAAAACTAAGCTCTCAGTAGTATACTTTTATATTCCAGTGGTTCTCAACCATGACTGCACATTGAAATCACCAAGCAGCTTTAAAATATACAGAGAAATAGAGAGATAGTGATAGAAATATTATATACAAATGTGTATGTGTGTGTGTGTGTGTGTGTGTGTGTGTGTGTGTGTATCACTGGGCCCTACCCCAGACCAATTAAATCATAATTTCTGAGGGTGAGGATCTGGCACTGACATGTATGAGTGTGTATATATATTAAATATTAAATCTCCCAATTTGATTGAAAAGTCAGTCAGGGTTGAAAATTACAGCTTTCCTTGGCAATTCAGCTCCACCACATACTAATGTGTGAATCTGAGCAAGCTACTTAACAAACTTTTTAAGCCTATTTCCCCCATCTGTAAAATAAAACCAAAATTCTACCTGTTTCATAGGTTTGCATGAGGATTAAGTGATACAGTCTCTGTAAAGCATTCATCACATGCTTGGCACCTACTCAATCCTTAATAAACATTACATATTCCTGTCACCATTTTTGTTATTATTTTAATTAACTATATGCTAATTTTAACTGTTTAGTAAATTCATTATGAATCGCTGTATACTCTATTCATTGAATTGTTACAAAATAATCTGTCTCAATCAAAGTTTCAGGTTTAGAATCTTACTGGCATAGTTTGAAGCAGAAGACTATATGTTAGTGTGCCCCTACCCCTCAGAATTCCAGTACCACATTAAGTTAATTGTTGGAGATCCTGATCTGTCCTAGTACCAATCATAAAATGAGCTCATGCCTCACTGACCAATCTGGATTAAATATAGTCCTTTATCCAAAGAATGAAATACCTGAAGGGTATCTCTCTCTGTTTCAGTGATATTATCAGTTAGGCATCATCTGCGTCTATCCTTATAGGGAAGGCAGGCTATCTGTTTGGTATCCTTCCACATGAATCACTTGCATACCCCGGTTTCTCCAGTGCCCAAAGGGAACCCAGACCTGTGTCAATGCCCTTTAACTGGGGTCTGTTTATCTTGTCCTTTGCTTTCCATTGAACTAACCTCCATGACAAATACCTAGACCAATTTGGAATCTGAAGTTTTATTCATCCTAGCATTCATTCAACATTTAAATGTCTACTCTGTGTCAGACACTACGTTAATTTAAAAAAAAAAAAAAAAACTGTCGAGTAAATTCTGACTCACAGCAACCCTATAGCACAGAGTAGAACTGCTCCATAGGGTTTCCAAGGCTGTAAATCTTTACGGAAGCAGACTGCCACATATGTCTCCCACAGAGCAGCTGGTGGGTTTGAACTGCCAAACTTTTGGTTAGCAATTGAGTGCTTAACCACTGCACCACTAGGGCTCCTTCCTATGTTAATTAACCTAAAAACCAAACCCATTGCCATCAAGTGGATTCCTACTCACAGTGAACCTATAGGACACCATATTCTACTCACATTTATTACCTGGTAACTAACGTAGGAAGCAGCCCTGGTGATGCAGTGGTTAAGAGCTATGTCTGCTAACCAAAAGGTCAGCAGTTGGAAACTCTATGGGGCAGTTCTACTCTATCTTTTAGGGTCACTATGAGATGGAACCAACTAGACAGCACCTAACAACAACAACAATCCTTCCACTCTAAGAACTCAAGGTCTCGTGAAGGAAACAAGTACAAATGATAAATCACAACAATGAGAAAATCTAGAGTAGAAACATGTAGAAGATTCTGTATTTCAGAAATAAGCAATAAAACTATTAAAAAATAGGAGATAAAATTATCATTAATTGCATAGATTGTAGATAGATGATAAACAGATAGAACTGCATATGAAGCCAAAAGAAAAAAAAAAGGAACTGTGAAGAGGCCTATTACTGCAAACGTAGAACAAATTATAAAAATTAGTAAATTTCATATATGTAATGAATAGAAGTTATAAAAGAATATTTCATTAACTCTAGCAACAATAAGATATGAAATACACCCATGGAAGCAGCAGTCAAGAAATCAAAAAACCTATTGCATTGGGCAAATCTGCTGCAAAAGACCTCTTGAAAGTGTTAAAAACCAAAGATGTCACCTTGAAGACTAAGGTGCGCCTGACCCAGGCCATGGTGTTTTCAATTGCCTCCTATGCCTGAGAAAGCTGGATGATGAATAAAGAAGACTGAAAAGAATTGACACCTTTGAATTATGGTTCTCAAAGAATACTGAATATACCATGGACTGCCAACAGAATGAAAAAATCTGTCTTGGAAGAAATAACAACCAGAATACTCCTCAGAAGCAAGGATGGTGAGACTACGTCTCACATATTTTGGATATGTTATCAGGAGGGATCAGCCCCTGGAGGAGGACATCATGCTCAGTAAAGTAGAGGGTCAGCA